TATTATTATTATTATTATTATTATTATGGAAAAGTACCAACAAATGTATCCATTTCTTCATAGTCTAAGCTAAATGGTCCTTATTGAATCTTAAAATATGATTTAAAAAAATGTAAAACACACAACTCCCTGAATACTGATGTTATGTAAGGTAAATAAAGAAAATTAATCAAGTAAAATGCAAAGACCACCTCCCACTATTCTTTCTGTGCTCTTTAATAAAAAGAGACGTGAAGACCACTGTGATAGCTGAAGTTTGCAAGTTCATTAACTTTAAACAAATGGAAAATCCATTTAAATTTTAGCTTATAAGAAAACTGAAGTAATTCTTTCCACTACACATGCATATACAGTATTTAGTTTATCCTTTTAACATTCTGGTTTAGCTTTTATTATATAGTGGCAAACTTGTTTTATTCATGTGCTATTTATCCAACATTGTTTTGCCCATCTTCATGACCTGGTAAAAACCAGATTATTATTATTTTTTGACACTTCTTTCCATGTTTCTCTTTCTGCATTTAAAAGCAATTTTTCTAGGATCATACAAACTGGCTGAACATTTATTGCCACCATTTGAAAATGTGACCTCCTCTTGTTTCAGTTCATGGCAGAGAGAGGAAATCGTGCAGCCAAAGCCATTTTTGAGAAGCATGTCCCGGCTTCTTTCTACAGGCCGCAACAAAAAGACTGCATGTGAGTGACTTTTTAACTCCTTTGGCATCCATTAACCTCCTGAGCTCAGCAGAAGTGAAAAGTGAAGACTCAGATGTTTTTTTAATGGTGAATAACAGAGAAGTGAGTTGGACACAGAGGTGGTAATAAGAAAGATGCATGAAAAAAAACATGAATGAAAAGGCTTGTTGTTTGCATCCACAAGGGAATATAAATGGGTTTTCGCTTCAGTGTTCTTAGGGATCAGTGGATTCGTGCAAAGTATGAAAGAAGAGAATTTACAAACGAGTCCTGTCTGCAAACTTACTCCTCAGGTAACAAAATGATCTTTACTGTTATTTTTATCACTCTGAGCACCGAGCCATCTAGAAAGATCTCAAAATATTGCACGAGACTGGGCATAAGGTCATTTATAAGCATTAAAAACTGTAAACACATGACTTTTTCACTCCAGAGTTGTTTGAGTCGGTCCTCTGGAAGAAGGGCAGACACAACAAGCAGTTCCTGAAGAGGATCTTTTTGCTGTCCCAGAAGGATTTCACCCTCAGATATTTCCTCAAAGAGGATGTGTGTTACTCCTCCAGCTCACGTTTTAATGAGGAGGATTCAGTTCATCGTTTAACTCGCTCCTCTCATAAAGTCTAAGGTTCCCAAAGCCGTCATCAGCATGAAGGATCTGAACGCAGAGTTCCAGCCGGAGAAGATCGGCCACGCTCATGGGCTGCAGATCTCCTTCAAAGAGGATGAACACACGAGGAACCTGTTTGTTTATCATGAGGACGGACAGGTGAGGCCAGCACCATGGAACGCACATCAGAACATGCAGAAATGTTGGCTTTAATCTTATTAAAAATAATGAATTTTTTATTAATGATTTAATTTTGTACACTTGATCAGCTCAAATAGAAAAACTGGTGTATGGACAGCAAGCTTTCAGAGAAACAGCTTGTGTCTTGTCTAAAC